CTGGGGATGTGGCTCAAGCAGTAGCGCGCTCGCCTGGCATGCGTGCGGCCCGGGTTTGATCCTCAGCACCACATACAAATAAAGATGTTGTGTCTGCCGAAAACTAAAAATAAATATTGAAAAAATTCTCTCTCTCTCTCTCTTAAAAAAAATAAATAAAAAATAATGGTCTCTTGGTTTTTGACACAGACCATACCAACTGATTGTATAAAATCAATAACTTTTCTATTTGAAAAGTAGTTGATGCCACAGGATTTTATCCATTTGCCGAACTGTACATGTATTATTTCCCACCTTAGATAAAAGTGGCCAATATTTAAGACATCTATCAACACTACCATTACTGTCTCAAATGAGAGAAGAAAACAGTATCAGTGCCAAAATGAAAGGAACTCCAGTGATTCAACAAGAGACCATGCCAGGGTAGGCAATGTGAGATTTGGTTTCTTCAACTTTATACTGAGGCTTAGACAGTCTTGAAACCAAAAATTAATACATCAAGTGTTGTTTTTCATTTATAGTAAAGCTTTTAGAAACAAAAGAATCCCGTGTTCAGATTTATATCAGATTGTAGATGCTCCAGGGCAGATCTGTCCCAATGCAGTGGTTTAATTAGTTAAAAGAATGCTCAGTTACCTAAAAGAAGGTATGACTGAATAAATGTCCTTGCTGACCTCTACCATATGATTGCATGACTAATTTAAGTCTAAGAGTTACAGGGCACTGGAGAGAGCTCAGACATACTTCAGCAGCTTTGGATTGCTTAATTTCAATTATGATTAATTAGTAATTTTAGACCCTCCAAAATGATGCCTTCAAAAAAAGTTATATAACATTACAAAAAAAAATTAGTAAGATCTCATTAGAGGGAGGGACAGGGGAAGAAGATGAGGGAAGGTTCGTTTATTTTTCATCACTAGTTTCACCAGCAAATCTCAAAAACCCAAACCTCTATCAAATAATTTAAACAGAAGTGGCATTTTCTTCAAATGGAATGCAAAATGCACACATTGACATACTTACATATACATAAATATATACATATATGTTTCCTTTACAAAGCTTCAAAGGTTGCATTACCAGCATGCAAACCTCTTTTTTCATGGAAATGCCTAATACTGACAAGGAATGTCTAAAATACTTAAGAGACATATTCCAAAAAACTGGACTCTTTTCTTCTTGGCTCTTAGGGAATTTTCCTGCCAAACTTCTACCAATGATCATTAAAAAAAAAACAAAACAAAACAAAACAAAAAACGTCTACACCCACATTGGTAATATACATTTAAAACATACTAACAAAATGGCCAGCTTGGATTAAGAAAAATGAGGAAAAAAAATCCCACAATAAAATCTAAACCCTTAGAAGGTGGAGTTTAGCTTTTTGTATTCTTTTTCAGCCACATAATGTTGCATCACTGTTAAATCAGAAGCAGCATATCATCCAAGATATCTGTAAATAATATGTCACGTTTCCCAGCTGCTATCTTTAAATGCAATTTGTACTAATCTGAGTTCTAGTTCAAAAGCATCTGGACGATCCTGAGGGTTTGCGGCCAGCATTTCCTTAATCAGTTGTTTCATTCGCCCATTCATAGACTTTTTCTTCACAGGAATTAGAAGTTCCATTTTGGGATTTTCCAAAAGTGCCTCCCCAACTGGCACAATTTCAGTTCCTTGTTTTACATAACTCCCCAAGAGTTCCTTCTTTGTCTCTGTGTCTATGAATGTGATCCTTTCCAGCATCGCCCAGATAATAATCCCCAGAGCAAAGATGTCAGCTTTCGCTGTGTAGTGTCCTTCCCATACTTCAGGAGCCATGTAGAAATCCGTTCCACATGCCGTGGAAAGGAAACACTTGTTTACGCTGACAGGTTCTTCTGGGTTTTGCCCAGAGGCTGAACAAACTTTACTTAGGCCAAAATCAGCCACTTTCAATGTGGGTTCTAAGTCACTAGTATCCAACCTGCTTTGAGAAATCAGGATGTTGTCCGGCTTCAGATCTCGGTGGATGATCTGGTTTTTATGCAAGAAAGCCAGGGCACTGCTCAGCTGAAGCATGAAGCTGGTGTTAGTTTTCCGATTGGGTTTTCTGGACAATAGATACTCATTCATATCTCCTCCGTCACAAAAATCCATCACAAACCACAAATAATAGGCGCTTCTGGGATCAAAGGCAATTTCTCCTTTTAACGAAGTCTCTACAAGCTATAAAGGGGAAAAATAGATTACAATAATTTAACAGGTTATACAACTTAATTATAGGAAAAGAATAATTGATTCCAAGAATAAGTCTCTAGTTTTTGTTTTTGCAGTGCTGAGTATTGAATCCAGGGCCTAATGCACACCAGGCAAGTGTTCTATCACTGGGCTGCACCTCCAGGTCTTCAAGTTTCCAGTTTTAAGTGGAAATTCCATGATTATCTATCTATCTATCTACCTCTGTATCTATCTTTGTGATACTAGGGATTGAACTCAGGGGCACTCTACCTCTGAGCTACATCCCATCCTTTTTTTTATTTTGAAACAGTGTCTTGCTAAATTGCTCAGGAAGACCTCAAACTTTTAATCCTTATGCCTCAGACTCTTGAGTAGCTGGGATTATAGGTGTGAGCCACCTTGCCTGTTAGGAATATTTTATTTGGTCAGTGCTCTCATATGTATTTTAAACTTGAATACTTTACATATAAATTATCCCTTTGTCCCTAACAAATATATATTAAATCTCCAAGCCAAGAGACAAAATTTCCATCTTACGCATAGCTTTATTTTGAGAAGTGTACAATTGGCCTACATTTTCTGGATATATCAATGGAGCTAAACTCTACCCATCACCTAGCTCATCATTTTATGAAAAGACTATAGTGCTTTAAAAACATTTGTTGTATGGTATCCTTTTCAGACTTATAGGTTTAAGAAAAAATATGAAAAGACTTGTTGAGGAATAAGTTGACAACTTTCCATTTAAATCTACTGGTATTCCTTGTCATTTTGGCCAGCAGGAGCACAGAATACCCCTCCACACCATCTTCCCTCAGGGCCAACCCCAGCAACAATTGCATTGGTCTGCAGATGTCTCTTTTGCACGTGTTTTCCCTGTTGCAAAAATAGGTTTGCCAGTGAGACTCAGAAAATAAATGAACAGAAAGATACAGATCACACTATTATTTACCAGATGGTTTTCTAAATAGTTTTGAACAATGCAGAGTCCTAGTAGTCAAATGGTTTAGAGAAAGGTCAGACAGTAAATATTTTAGACTTGGAAAGTGTCATGAATTCTCTTCTTCCTTTCCTGTCCTTTTTTATTCTCAAGTTTTAAAAAATGTAAAAACTATTTTTAGTATCCAGGTTATAAGAAAATAGTGCTGGGCCTCTCTAGTTTACAACTACAGAAATACTGTGCCTGACCTACTTATTTTCATGGGGTGGGGAATAGTAGCCACTGGTTCTCTTGCCTAAAGTCCTTCAATGGCTTCCTTGTTCTTTTAAAATATAGTCTACGCTTTTTAACAGGGTTATGGGACATTATATGCTCTGACTTCTGCTGACCCTTTTAGCCTCATCTCAAAACAGTTCTCTCTGTACACTACAGAATTACTATATTCTTTCAGTTCTTTTAAATGCTTCATGCTTTTGGCTTTAATACCTTTGTATATAGTTTTTTTCTGCCTGTGAAATTTTTCTAATCACTAGTCTAGTTAATGACTATTGACTCTATGAGATTTTTTTTTTAACTTCATCTGCTTGCTTTATTTATTTATTTATAGAGAGAGTGAGAGGAGAGAGAATTTTTTTTTATTTTTTAGTTTTTTTTTTTAAGAGAGAGTGAGAGAGGAGAGAGAGAGATAGAGAGAATTTTTAATATTTATTTTTTAGTTCTCGGCGGACACAACATCTTTGTTGGTATGTGGTGCTTAGGAACGAACCCGGGCCGCACGCATGCCAGGCGAGCGTGCTACCCTTGAGCCACATCTCCAGCCCCTATTTATTTATTTATCATTTATTTACTTTTGTAGTTGTAGATGGAATACCTTTGTTTATTTTTATGTGGTGCTAAGGATTGAACTCAATGCCTCATACATGCTAGGCAATCGCTTTGCAGCTGAACTACAACCCCAGCCCTGCTTTTATTTATTTTTATGTGGTGTTGAGGATGGAGCCCAGTGCCTCACTCGTGCCAGGCAAGTGCTCTACTACTAAGCCACAACTCTAGCCCTAACTCTACAAATTTTAATTAAACATTTAATAATTCTTGAACCCTAGGATCATGTCAAGAAGGCACTTGCTAAATGTGTTGATGAATGTTTGGTAAACTACATAAAGCCAAAGAAAAGACAATTTCTTTGGTCCCTATGACTGAGTATTTCTTATGGGCCAAGTATTATTTCTGCAGCATCTCTAATTTTTTTGTTTTCTGGTACTAGAGACTGAACCAGGGGCACTTGGGACACTTTACTACTGGGCTCATCCCCAGTCCTTTTTATTTTGAGACAAGGTCTCATTAAGTTGGTGAGGATAGCCTTGAATTTTCCATCTTTCTGCCACAGCCTCTTGAGTCACTAGGATTCCAGGTGTATGCCACCATGCCCAGTTCATCTCTAATTTTGACAACTCCTATGGAAGGTAAAAATTATTACAACCATTTTACATATGAAGAAACAGATGTTTAAAAAAATTGGGTTATTTGTCCAAGGTCATTCTGATAGTAAAAAGTGTCAAAAGATCTATCAATCTTTAAAAAAAGAGTCTGGGCATGTTGGCATATGCCTATGATCTCAGTAACTTGGGAAGCTGAGGCAGGATTACAAGTTCAAAGCTAGTCTCAGCAACTTGGTGAGGCCCTAAGCAACTCAATGAGATCCAGACTCAAAAAAAAAGAAAGTAAGAAGAGAAAAGATAAAGGGCTGGGGGAATTGCTCAGTGGTTTAATCCAGAGTACTCCCCCTAAAAAAGAAAAGACATTTCTAAATAAAAAGGCAATTTAGATTTAAAAAGTCACTGAATTAAGTTTGGTAGTTACTTTACATCTTAAAACCTTGATGCCTAGTTAGGATAATGGTTGCTGGATCTAGATTCAGCACTAATGCAAATATTTAAATGTTTTTGCTTTTCCATCCAAAAGAGATTATTTTCTTTTAGTTTCTAAAACTAAGTTCAGCAAAGTTCTATCCACTTTTAAGAGGAAATGTGGTTTTCCTAGTATTTGTGAAGCCCTAAATTCAATCCCCAATATCACACACATACAAAAAGGGAATGTGCTAAGAATGTTTCTAATATTTTTTATCAGTGCAACTTACATAATAAACACTTTTAGAAAAGTAAACAATAGAGGCCAAACAGTTGTGTTAATTCATTGTGCTGAGAAAACTTCAGTGTATAAAGTGCTAAGTTGCGATATAAATTCTTCAGAATATTTTGTCCACCATACAATATTTGCAAGTTTCTAATTACACATATCAGTTTGTTTTCTTTGTCATTCCTATTCAAAAGGCTTTTGTGGTTTTAAACACACTTTAATTTTTTATTTTTAAAGTCATATTTTTTGTTGTTTTTTATTGGTACATTATAATTACACATAATAGTGGAATTCATTGTTACATATTTGTACATGCTCATTATATAACAATATAATTTAGTTAATATAATTCCCCAATATTAAACACACTTTTAAATGTTAAAAGTCCAATGGTCAATTCTGAATGTAGATACACTCAAGGAAAGCTGTTTTCTTTTCTAAGGGACTGGCTTTAAGAAATTCTGCTCTGGTCCTTGCCTAACTAACTAGGTCTTAACTATCTTTTCTATTCAGTGACAAGAGAGCTCTAAGAGATTTTGATTTTATTTTATTTTTTTAGATGTATGGACCTTTATTTTATTCATTTATTTATATGTGGTGCTGAGAATCAAACCCAGTGCCTCACACATGCTAGGCAAGCGCTCTACCACTAAGCCACAGCCTCAGTCCCAGGATTTTGACTTTAGAAGAAGTCAATCTTTAAAAAAAGAAAAAAGCTTTTCCATTTTACTATGCTACAAAAGAGTAATCTGGAAGTGAAGAGAGCATAAAGCTTTAGTTATCAAGACACAGTGGTGTACACTTGTAATCCTGGCAACTCCAGAGACTGAGGCAGGAGAACTGTAAGTTAGTGACCAGCCTCAGCAATTTCACAAGGTCCTAAGCAATTTAGCCTGCCTTAAAATAAAAAAATAAAAAGGGCTGGGGATGTGGCTCAGTGGTTAAATGCCCCTGGTTTCAATCTCTGATATGGAAAAAAATTAAAAATAAAAAAGTCTGCTAAATTCAGCTCCCAATCTGACACTAGCTAGGTAGATGTCAGTGGATAAGTTCATTATTCTAAACTTCAATGTCTTCATTTGTAATGAAGATAATGTTACCTTATAGGATTTTTTAAAAATATTCATTTTTTAGTTGTAGATGGACCCAATATGTTCATTTTATTTGTTTATTTTTATGTGGTGCTGAGGATGGAAACCAGGGCCTTGCACATTCGAGGCAAGCACTCAAACACTGAGCCATAACTCCAGCCCCCCTTATAGGACTGTTTTGAGCAACTTTCCTTAAAGCACTTAGCACACAGTATTAAACCAAGGAGGGACATTTGTTGATACCGGCACTGTTAATAACATTCATAAAAATTAATTGGAATTGCATGGGTAAGAAACCACAATACCCTCCAAAATAGCAAAAAGTTATATTTACACACATGATTTATAAAAGAGATGTCTAGTTACCTATGGGTATCGCTATCAGTTAACGGAGTTTTTCCTTTTTTTCAGTTTTTAGTTCCAAAAAAATTTATTTCAAAGAAGTGAACTTATTCAAATATAGTCTCAAGCATTTCTCCAGTTTCTATCTTGCCCCATTCCTATGCGGACTGGCAAGTACCATGGCCTAACAGGTGGCTTATGTTATTTTTAGGTATGTGCATCACAAGTTTAAATAAAACCCTATTTTAAAGCAAACACCTATTCTATTCTTGGCAGATCTCTATCTACTCTTAACTATAAAACATCTGCATTTGACAGGAAAAGTTCATCCAACCCTTTCATTCCTCTTCTTGCTGACCAATGTCATGTTCACATCTTTTCTATTTCCCATCCAAAAATACATACCTGTAAATAAAGGGAAGAATTAGAGCCATGGGACATCTTTTGCACCATCCCATCTTTCTGTAGGATGCATTCTTCCAGGTGAATCACATTTGGATGTTGGCTCTTGATACTGCTTAGTGCCCAGAATTCACGAAGTGCTAGTTCAACATTTTCAGGTGCGTGGCATCGGATTTTCTTCACTGCCACCCGTGCAGAGGTCTTTCTGATGACTGCTTCATACACAACACCGTAACTACCTCGGCCTACCTCCCGTATTAGATCGTACTTTGGCTGGCTACTCACCATCTTCAAGGTCGAGGTTTCTGGAAAAATCAATAAAGTGCTCAATTTAAATTAGGTACACCCACTAGTTGTGTTTATTCTTGTACAGAGGGATTCAGTTATCATCTGGTTCATTACCTGTAGTGCTTAAGGATATTTTCTATACCTTGGGCAAATCTAACTCTAATAATAGAGCTACCATTTAGGTAGCACTTACCACATATTAGGGACTGTTTCAAACACATTACAATATTATATTCATTTAATCCCCACATTATGGTCATTTTAGAAGTGAAGAAATGAAAGCCGAGAGAGGTTAAATAAAATGCCCAAAGTCAAACAGTGAGTAACTGGTGAACCTGGGATTTGAAATCAGGCCATCTGGCTCAGACATCCATTATTTTGACCACTAAGCTATACTGCTTCTTCAATGAGTACTTGAAAATGTGACTGTTAAAAATAAACCCCCAAATTCAGCATTTTACTGATCATGAACAAACAAACAGGGAGGCAAAATCTCAGTCTGTCCTTAAGACTAACCCAACATACAAGATCACAAAACAGCAAAAACAGAAAACTCTCATAGTTAGAAATACAAACACCAGGCTTATGTTTTAGGACTGAAAGTGAACCGGATCATTTTACAGAACTAATATTGTTGTTTTTATTATTAGACATAAATAGCCAAACCATGTGTTTATTTTTATTTGTTTCTTTGGTTATTCCCTTATTTCCTGCAAAATAAATGAAAATAAGGTTCGCGGAAAAGAGCTGTTTTTTTTTTTTTTAAATAAAGCTACTTAGAATATGACTACCTTTTTGTTATTGTTAACTAGTTACTTAGTTCTAGGTTTTTTTTGCAAAAACAAAAAAACTATCCTACAACATCAAGAGGAACTCTCTGACAAAGTTCTTTAGAATTCAACTTGATAAATCCTTTAAAAGTAGGAGCAAAGGCCCTACAACACACATGCTCATGTTTTGAATAGAAAAAGTTCAAAGTGTACCTCCTCACTCCCCAAATTCTCATTTGTAGGTTGTCACCACGCGCAAAGAAGGTAACCTGAGATTGTACAATATTTATCTTATACACCTAGGGAAACAAAAATCGACTGACTGTAGAACCTGAGAAATAGGAAAACAGCTACTCTATGTCTGCAGGGCAGATTCAATAAAGAAAACGACTGCTTCTCAGACTGCTTTAAGTCCCACTTCCTCGAATTGGTCACCTACCCTTCAAATTCCCACTATTTCCTAGTGTCTGCTTTCCTGCCAGAGAATCAGAGGCGGCAGGCGGTCTGCTCTGCGCGGCCGCCAACTGCTCTGCATCTCCAGGTGGCTCGCTTCTCGGAAGCAGTCCCCCCGCTTCTCCCGCCGGGTGCGAGGACCCCCGTGGGAAAGAGCACCTTCCTGAATAGGGAACAAGGAAGGTGGCTTTGAAATCCTCGCAACCCTGGATCAAAAGACACCGCCGTGCTAATCGAGATGACTTACGCTGGCATCTCCCGGGCCCTCCAGTCTGCTGTGCTCACCCAGCGCTGGACGCCGGCCGGCCGGGCCATACACCTGCTGGGGCGGGGGAGGGCCAGCTGCGGCCAGAGGTGCTGCCCGACACGGCGGCTCAGGCCACGATCCTCGCTAAGTATCTGGCCTTCCCCTCCGCGGCCGCGACCCGGGGAGACCCTACGGGGGTCCTCCCGGGGCCCTTCACCCCAGGAGCCGATCCTGCGGCGGCCTCCACTCCTTGGGGCTGCGGGCGGAGCGCCGGGGCCCGGGGAGTGGCCCTGGCGTGAGAGGAGGCCGCAGCTGGGGACGGTGGCCTGAAGCGCGGGCCCTGCCCGCGATGACTCGCTGACAGGTCTGTGACAGGCCTGCAGGGAGGAGAGGCGCCTGCGGGGTCGGTGGCTCTGCGGCAGGACCTCCGTGCCACGCCGACGCGCCTGCTTTACCTCAGGGTAACCG